AATTACATGTTTACAAGAAAGTACATTAAGGGTGTGAGTGTAGGTACCGATGGTCTATCCATACTTCCACATCGACACCTATATTCGCAGCGACCCAGATCCCCCAAACCCCACACCCTATAAATGAAATCCTACAAACGAACATCTATTCTTAGTTTTTCATGATCATGATGAAGAATTACTGCAAAGTCGCCAACAATAAGGAGAATCGTTCAAATTTTCAATAATTGCAAATTATTTAGGCTATTCGTATTAAAGAATAAAGATCGATTTCTTCTTTTTTCGAATGTATTCCTTTGTGTAACTAACATATTAAATTCTTAAACGTTTACATTCTCAATAAAATATAATATCATCACATCATATAATAATGCTTCGAATACTAGGTGAATTACTTTGTTCAATAATATAATTATTTGAATTATCTAAATTGTGTTGCATGCAATTTTCCGACTGAACTGCTTAATCTCTTTATAGTATGATTAATCCTTATATTCTTCTATGTTAGAACATTAGATTATTTCTACATAGTGAATCGATTTAAATCTCGTAATAAAGAATGAATATTATAATAAACCTCATAAACAAGTTCATCGTCATCATATCATATAACATAAACATATACGTATTTTGCGTGAATAAAATCTTTTGTTGGAGTGTGAGATTTTGAAAGGTCACGTCCATTTGTTAGTGCTTTTAATAATATTTCAGTTTCTTGAGTTAATTCAAATTTTACTTGTGTTTCCAGTGTTTTTTTTTCTAGTAAATGTTTCATTGTATTCGTCTGATCTTAGAATTTTTCCTAAAGAAAATAAATTCGTTGGACTATTTGAAAATTACTTTTGTGTCGTCGTTTTTTAAGTGGTTGCTACATTTATTATATATTTTCTAAAGATATCCAACTTTAGTATTTAGATATTTTATAACATTAGAAAAGAAAAATTAATTGAATTAGAAAATTTGAGTCAGAGACTGTCATAGGGCCGGACTGCCCTGCCCTGCTCTACCGGGCGGGACGAATTTTTATTTTTAGCCCTGTCCTGAGGGCAGGGCAAGACAGGGCAAAATAGTTTGCCCTGCTATTTTTTTTCGTAAAAAGTCATTGGAGAAATATTCTCTAAATGTGAATATAAAACTTTGAAAACATATATATTCTATATAGCTTCACCAAATGTTGATAACTCCATGTCTTCAGTTGATTTCATTACATCCTTTCGATCATATACTGCTTCTAATTCAGCACCGTCTTGCAAGAATTTTGTCGATTTTGAGAACATCCAAGATCTCATAACACATCAAAAGCATTCATATCATATAATAAGAAATGAATCTTCATCGTCTGCTAAATACGGAAGAATCTTCGATTCTTGACTTCACTAAATAATGATAATCAATTAACAAATATCTACTAGCTTTATTGACAGATACATTGTTTTCATATAAATATTCTATTAGTGTCACACATTCACTCAGAAAAACCTAGAGAAACTGGACGAATATCGATAACGTTTGATTTAAAATCTGTTACATGGCACTATTTTCACCCTTTTATAATATTACCCTTTAGCCTAAAATTTAGATTTTTTACAGTTTTTAAGAGTTTCTCAAATCTTTTTGATCAATTATAATTCGTTAATAATCTTAATTAGTAATAATTGGCAAATCATATTAATCGATTAAAAAGAATTGAAAAAATCTTTGAAAATAGAAAAATTGGAACTGGAATTAAAGCATGGACCTTAATCGGATGGATCATAGAGTCATTTTAATAGACTTTTAATCGAAATGAATCGATTTTAATGCGATTTCTTTCTCTATTGTTCTGCATGAATAATAGTCTGTCGAACGAGGAAAAGAGATACGACTATTGAGTATAAAAACGACACAAGTTTTCACTAAGTTATCAATTCCCCTCATACCTAAGCTCAATGTATAGACCCTGCAGGACGCCCTGCCCCACCCTCAGGGCAGGATCAGAGCGCATTTTTATTTTTATCTCTGTCCTGAGGATAGGGCAGGGCAAGGTAAGGCAGGGCACAGGTCAGAAAAAAGTGCCCCGTGACGGTCTTTGATTTGAGTTTTAAAAGAGAAAGTGGATAATAGGCTATTCGAATTTGTAACGATTAATATAGGTTTATGATTGAATAACAGGTAAGTCATAAAGCATAAGCCTTTCAGTATTTCGACTATAACTTCTTTTTTCTTTTCAACCGCCGATATCTAGGAGTGGCACTTTCACTTTCCTTTCCGAAAAGAAAGGAGAGGAAAACTATAAGGTAGAAAGAATAATAAGTTTTAAAAGATTTCGTATATATATGATCCGTTCAACAAGTGAGCTTCTAAAAGACATATCCTTAATATTTTCAAATTATTTCCTTATTGTTTCTCAATTTTTCTCCCTCATCCTTTGCATTTCTCACTTTCTAGACTATTTTTGACTTTCTCTTATTCTAGTTACTTGATCTGACATTCTATCCTATATTTCTAGAGCTATATCTCTGCCTACTTCATGATTCTCAATGAATTCCTACTGATATGTAAGTTAGAACAAAATCAGTCTTATCTTAGATTCTAATGAAAATGTATTATTCTTGATAATATCACGTATGTCTCACTGCTGTCATCAACAAATAGTTTTCACTATAACTATTAATTTCTTTTAGTTCTAAAGCTTCTTATTTTTATTCATAATTTTCAAGTGAAACAAGATAAAATAAATAGTTAATATGCCATAGAGGGGAAACCACAATTGATCAATTTCCATCAAGTTTTAGTCTCAAATCTTGATTTTTGCTTGTTCATGTTGTTTTTTAATAAATAGAAAAGCTAACTGGCAATAAAGATAAACTGCACGGCCTTATTTTATGAATATCAAGGATTTAATACTTTATCATTTTATGTTTTTTTCTCAAATCTTAACCCGAAGAGAAGAACAAGCAATTGAGTTTCAAATGTAATTAATGTCTTTTTCACGATAGAATGTATGTCTGAAGAAGTTGAGTAGCTCCAGAGCGTAAATAACTAGAGATCTGTGATTTCCATCACTCGAAATGTGGGCACTAAGCGACGTCGATCTATACTAAAGTCAAAAATTTGAGAGATAATCTTAATGGGTTTCTATGGAGATATGCGGTGAACCACTTCTCCATCAGCAAGCGTTATTAAATTTTCAGCCGAACTTTATTTATCTTGTATTCCAAGGTATACTGTATAGCAAAGTTTGGTTTGTTATTCAGAAACTTAAGGGCAAGAAGAAAAAGTTATCACAGGAGGTGATCTTCAGTTCCTTCTGCCCTTCGATGTGGCGATTATGATTCATCGAGTTCACAATCGAGTCAGCTCAAGTCTACAAGATGTTATGAACCCAAACCTGCTTATGGAAGAAAGCTTTAATTTTTATATGTTCTAAGAACATTTATTGATCTTCAAGTGTAACAGTATTTTTTTTCTTGCCATCAGAAAGAATGAAAAATCCTTTGGCGTTAACTGTGATGCACTGAAACACTATGCAAAGGTGGACAAGATTAGTGAAATTCTGAAAAAAACCAGGCATGGAATACCAGTCGTAGGAAAGTGACTTTAAGTCGGAGAAAAAACAGGGAAATTCAGGAAACAAAAATCCATTAGAGTTGCTCATATTAAAATGATTGCATTATTCCCTCTGTTGTCGATAATACATATACTGTAAATTTCTAACAATATGAAAGATTTCAACTTTCCTTTCTCAAAGCAAAAGGGAAGTTAAAGTACCACCCCTAACTGAATACACGAAAAAAAATTATTCAAAGATTTTCGAAAATGTTCATTTTTCATTGTTTTCTTAGACTTTTTAATTCATAACAAAAGTCTAGGAATATACAGCTTTGTAGAGCAAATTTCGCTCTATCGCTTGATATATTATACCAAATTATTCATCGATTGCGTGCAAAAAGAAAATTGGCAAAGACAAAAATATGTGACGTTTGTTTACGACAGCAGACCCTGAGTCAATGTTCTGTCTGATAACTCGTGATAGATTAGACATACAGGACTAAAGAGGGTTGTCATGAGAAGGTCAAGATTGGGAGGAGGCGGAAGTATCGACAACTTCGGTAAATTTTCGTTAGATGAAAGCAAAAATTTTGTATGATTGGCGGAAGTGACTCTTCCTTGTCCCGTCTGTGACAGTTCTGGAGCTGAAAATTTGGATTTATAGGTACTTGAACATGCTTTTCGATTTCCACCGCGCAAATTGCATGAGATTATGATTAATAAATAAGAAATCGACAATTATATGTGACCTGAAAAAACAATAGGCTTCTGGACATTTGTTTTTTAGTTTATTTAAGCTATCCAAATTTCGAGACTTACCCTTCGATGGTACATAGCAAATCATAACTGAGTACTAATCTTCATTTTTTCTATTAGATGGCCAAACAAATGTTGGCATTATAATAAAATTCTGCAGAATATTGAAAAAAAAGAACCCTGGGAAGTTTCTGAATGTTATTTTTTCTCAATAATGTCTACATTATTCATTTATCCTTGTACAATTCAATATATATTTAAAAAAAAAAAAATTAACTATAATTATATATTTTGTTGATAATATCATCAATCAATGGATTATTATTTGCTATTTAGTTGATGTTTACTACTCGTAAGAGATAGTTTAACTTCAGCGTGACTTAAATTTAAATAAGAATATTTCGAAGAAATGACTAAATCATGTAAGCATGAAAAAACAAAAATAAATATTTGTGAATCGTAAATTATATCTTTCTTTCTATATAGAATGTATTTTTCAAAATATTATAACGAAAAAGGTGTGTACATATGCATGCATTTGTTTTCTTCTTTGTTTTTGTTTCGTTCTGTACTTTTCAGCCTTCAAGAATGAATCATAGTTATGTTTGCTGTTTGTGTTGCATGATTAATATGGAGTAATGCATGACACAATCATAAATTATCACAAAATATTTGACTGTACGATTTTGTTTTGTGTTTTGAAAAGTTTCCCGATGTCTAATACAATGATACCTTGGCTTTGTTTATTACCTGTGGAAATTCTACATCATATATTTGATTGTCTCGATGCATCAACAATACTATTTTCATTACGTTGTACTTGCCGAAGATTAAAAACAATTGTTGATAGTTATGATCGATATGTTCTTGATTTTCGATCGATATCGAAGTCTGATTTTCAATTATTATGTTGTTTGATTAATCCACGAAAAGTTAAATCGTTAATACTTTTTCCTAAAGATGAAACATCAGATCAACTTGAATTATTTATGACATATTTTCGTATTCAAGAATTTACTCGCCTTCGTTCATTAACTTTAATTGAAATTGAAGAACGTCAATTGAAAGTTCTTTTAAAACGTTTTTGTATTCCTTCATTAACTTCATTTTCATTTAAACTTGGAAAATATGATGATCGTCGTACAAATACAACAGCAACACTTCTATCATCTATTATTTCACAAGCAAATCTACATCATTTAAATCTTGAACTTCGCTCAACGCGTCTAGAAAAAATGATTTGGCCTGCTCAATGTTTAATTAAATATTTAAAAATTGGTTCGTGTGATGAATTTTCTCAGATTTTTATAATTCTTCGATGTTCACCTCATTTACAAACATTTGTTATAAAATTTTCAAGTTATGTCGATGATACAATTATCTCATTGGATTCTTTTCGAACATCTTTCCAACAATTAACTTCACTAACATTAGAAAATCTCCGTGCGAATGTTAATAATCTTGAATTATTGCTTTCATTGATGACTTCATTGACTTATTTAAAATTAATTGGTTTAGGACATTTTTTAAATGGTAATCGATGGGAACAATTTATTCAAACAAATCTACCATGTTTGAAAAAATTTGAACTTTTCGTTCAGGAATGGAAAGATGTTGATTATACTTCAGTTGATATTGAAGCAATTATAGAATTATTTCGAACATCATTTTGGATTGAACATAAAAAATGGTTTTTCACATGTGAAACTATTGAATTATGGCCACGAGTAATCAAACTCTATTCTATTCCACTTTGTATATCTACGTTGACTTATGAACCTGAATCTAATAAAATATCATCATCAACTTTTTATTCAATAATTAACAACGATATGTCAATTATGGATAATATTGATACAATTGACTTTAAATTTTCAAAATTTACGTTGGATGACATTCAACAACAGGTAGAAATAACTTTCAATGTTATATTTTTCTCGTTGTTCAAAAGATATATTCGTACATAAAATCTTATTTCAATATTTTACATGATTAAGTATTACGAGCATGTATGTTCATGCCTTTATAGAGGATATAAACGTAAGACTCTAACGAGAGAAATCTACCTATGCATCATGTAGATCCTAATGGGTTATGAATATTCCAAAATGAGTTCGGATCCATAGCTTATTGCTGTCAATATATTGTATTTTTACTATACTTTTTCATACAATGTCATGGTCTCCCTCAGGAATATCAGAAAGATTGATTTTCGAATTTCAACTTGAAACTTTGCATAGAAACAAGCTGTAACAAGAATAGTTTATTTTGAAGGTGATAAGTATTTTTATTGTTTCTATCTCAAGATGCAACCATGATAAAAGCACGTCTTTTACATCGCTCATATATAGCCACAGACTCAATGTTCTAATTTCAGGACAGGAACGGATCAAATAGCTTGATACTTTCGTATTTTACCTATTCTTGTTAAAACTTGTTTCTATACAAAGTTTCAAGTTGAAATTTGAAAATCAGTTTTCCTGGTGTTCTTGAGAGAGAACACGATATTGTATTGAAAAATACTGTAAAAATGCAATATGTCCGCACCAATAAGTTATGGTCTCGAACTCTTTTCAGGATATTCATAATCCATTAGGGTCTACATAATGAATATGTTTTCGACTTAAAACTGATTTATTAGTTGGGAACTTCCTTCGTAAACCATATCAAACGCTACATATTCCATTTATAGTCATTGATGATCTCATCAATTTTACCTGAATATTTTTCTTGGTATAATTAATAAAAAGTCTCTTTATCGAGTATCTGCACTGACGAACAATATTACTAAATCCATTTTGAAGATTTCAAGATTTTCTATCAAAATTTTTTCTATTCATATTCGAAAATTCTAACTTGAATGATCTCGTCGTTTATATTTTCTCTTGTATAAATGCTTCATGGCAGAATTTTTCGTATCTTATTTTTTTCTTTTTATAGCAGCAAAATCTGCATGGTCCCTTGTTTCGCCGAATAACAAACCTCGAACTTGATTACTATGTCCAACCAATACCAAATTGGGCTTCATTCATTTCAATACTCGTTGATCTGACAACAGTCACTCAAATCAAATTAACCGGGATCAGAATTTTTCAGGCTCATCCAAATATAATAACGGATCTTAGTAGTTTACTTCAACAAGCATGTAGTCTTACTTCATTAGACATATGTTGCAACTATGATAGTAGACGATCAAAGTTAACTGCACAGGACATATATTCAATGACACCATCACATGTTAAACATTTGGCAGCGTCAATCAAAAATTTAAATGAAGTTAAAATTTGTCTCACAAAACTCCAACATTTATTAACTGCTAGATTCTTCTATCGGAGTAGTTCATTTTCGAATGTAGTTGTCGAATGGTTGGAACAAGAGAAAGCTGGTTCATCATACTTTGTAGGTGCTGTTTTTACAAAAGTATGGCTCGTACAAAGTAATAATCAATTTAAATTAGTCAGAATTGGAAATAAACGTATTAAACTCACTGTTGATCATTAAAATTCATAAGCTTTTGTTAATAATTGGATTATTTATTTAATTCAAATACATATTACCGATCTTATATTTCTTTTTCTTTTGTCTTAAATTTATTAGTTCAATGTAATGTAAACAGAATTAAATTAAGAAGTTTTCTTTCTTTTTTCAATATGAACATATTTATATAATACGAAGTGTGTCTCTGAAAAATCTCAATCTTCATTTTCTAAATTCTATTACTTTTCTTGAGAGAACAGATTTGAACATGTTTGATTTTGTTTTTATCTGTTATTGCTTATTCTAACTCAAACAGTATAGTATTCGTTCAATTAAATCTAATGTCAGTTGCAGTGATGGAACAATGTTATGTCTCATTTTCATAATAAACAATATCTATATCTATTTTTACAACGAGTAGATTTTGACTTAATCGTTTACAATCACATGGGATTTTCCCATTAAATTTGTTTTTTTTTGTGTTTATTGCTGGAGCAAACAAAAAAGTGAATCATTGGACTTTTTTTCTTCGGAAAAATAAATATCCATTTATTTTTAACGAAAAATCACTATGCATTGTACACCTACGTACATTAAAACAAGAGTGGAAAAGATTTATTTAAAAGCAAACTTATTGCTTTTAATGTAAATATAAAAACTATTATTTGACATTTACAGTGTTGATATTAACTTTATGACAAAAGAGAAAAGCAAGGGCAAAATCGAAGAAAGATGGTTACTTTATGATGTATGAAAAGAGTAGTAATGTTTTTAATGAAACCTACGATGATTTATATTTATAAAAAGAATACATTCTATTTATATGGGAAAAAAAATGATTTAGACTGAAGTCGATCAACATTCTTGTTCTATTTGTAAATTTGATGTATGGACCCTATTGAATTTGAAGAATTGAAGACATTCAGACAATCCATTTCGCTCACATCCAACTCGAAATCTTTTTAAACAGTGTACCAATTGCAAAGATCAATGTTTCAAATTTCCATCTGGAATAACTTTGATTAATATGAAAGATTATTTTTAATATCATCAATTACTACATTGAAATACCTATTGAATGACAATATACATATATATATATTGTTATAATTATTTATTTTGTATAGAAAATATTAAAAGTGTAAAGATTTTAATATTAATGTTTACAATGAATTAAGCAAGCTTTTCATAATCTATCAAGCATGAAATGACCTTCACATAAATCAAAGTTTGCAGTCTAATTATAGAAACAAAAGGTAAAAGTGTCATGTGATCCATTCTAATAAGTAATCAACAAATCTATATCAAGGGATTACTTACGGTCATACTGTTCGCTAATTGTTACACTTATTTATTGAGTGTATTAACATTTGAATGCCATATAATTCGAATTATTTAAGAATAAATTATCGATTTAAATATAAATTTCGTTATAAGATGAACATATATACATCTTTAATTATTTCCTTCGTATACTAAAGATTGTTTTTTTACGTTTAAAAAGTATTAATACCCGAATATTTCGTATTTGTATTTTAATGGATTAAAACAGAAATCGGTTGTTTGCTTTTTTTATTAAAAAACAATGATTGCGCTGATGGATAACGTCATTATCAATTTAGAAATTTTAACTAGAACTTAATGTAAACAATATCTTCAATCTGCAAAATCAATGGTAGATGATAAAAATAAGAGTACAACCAAATTATACAAACATTGATAAAAAAAAATTATTTTATTCCCATTATTTTATTCCAAATAAATCTGTTTCATTTTTTTTTTGGATATACACTAAGTTGTTTACATCGAAGATATAAACTGAATTTTAAATCAAATATCCTTTATGAAGATTCAATGAATCAATTATTTCATTTATCACCGTCATAATAACGAATAAACTCATCTCGTTACTTGTTATTATAAACTACTCAAGTAAAACATTAAAGAATTATCAACACTTCATCTTGAAGGTCAATAGTGATAAAAGAATTTATTTTTAATACACAAGAAACACAAAAAAAAACAGAGTCCTTCTAGTCAACAGTATTATTTATTCTAATAAATTTTTATTTTGTATAAATCGTTATAGAATATATTTTATTTTGACTATTATATTAACTTATTTAATTTGTTGAAATAAATTAATAAAATTTCCGATGACAGTTGTATTTTGTGATTATACTATCGTTATTGTTTTAGTTCGATAAAGAATATTTTTTGATAGAATATCAAATATAAAACCAATAATTTGTAATGATATAAGTATTGATATAAAAATAATTAAACGTAATGTTAGTTCATTATGATTAAAAGAAAATGTTTCAAGATAAAGACAATATAGAAATATGGATAGATTTTCTAATGATATCAATGCATTAATTGTTATATCATCAATTGAATAATGTGTTATTAAAGAAAATATCATTTGTAAAAACATTGTATTTTGTTTATGTTTAAATTTTGATCGATGAAATAATCGAGTAATCATTAATGTTAAATGTACAATGAAAAAAATCATTGTCAACAACCAATTATTAAAATGAAAAAGAAAGATAAATGTATAAATACGTGTAATAATTAAAAATAATCGCGATAAAATTGATAAAATAATATTAAATGAAAATCGTTCAAGAATAAGAAATGTTGATAGAAGAGAATAATTTATTATTAAATAGTAGAAAATACTAGTTAAAATAAATGTTGGTGAAGAAGGAAGATGAATAGACATTAGATTAAATGAGGAAAATAAGTATTGAGTCCAATCCGACGACATTGTTCGACGAGCTAAATGCTTATGTTCATTATCAAATATTTGCCAATGACTAGGAAAAAAAAGGGATTTTAATAATTTCAAAAAAAAAACGCTCATAAATCAGTCTAATTTTTACTTATAAACATTCAGAGTATATAACCAATGTTTTATATCTTACATGAAAACTACTGGTAGCAGCATCCCTCTAACGATCAGAGTCACTCTTCTAAAAATAGATGTTCACTTTTTCGAAATTATAAATTCGATCTTCTGAAAAAGAAAAACTGAATAAAATGTGGCGTATGACTCAAGATTTACCTATATCGGTATGATCAGATACAAAAATTGCTTTAGGTATTTCATAAATACTATTAAAATTTACTATTATATAAAATCTTTTTTTTTGTCTTTTAATATATTTCAAAATACAATGTTTAATGTTATTGCTTTGTTTTGTTTACTTACGCTATTGAAGAATAACTAGGAATTGTATTTGTCATTGACGTTGATGATAAATAATCATTATTTGATATCCATTGAGGAATAAAATAATTCATATTTAATAAAGATTTAGTTGATTGTTGAAAATTATTTGACCAAAAATAAATATTAAAAAAAGTTAAAAATCCCGTATGAATAGCATAAAATAATGTTAAATAATGAAATAATTTTTGTTTTTTTCTTTTATATAATGATAAATGATGTATCATAGATGAATCTGTCCTATGTGATATATTTGTTTCGAATGTTGTTGATGATAATGAAGATGATGATGAATTTAATATTTGTCTATTATAATATTTATCAAACATAATTGTGAATAATTCAACAAGTTCATACAGTAAATAAGGACGTATACTAAATGGTATTAATAGTAAATAAGATGGTACAGTATTTAATTGAATTAAGTTATTTATCCATAAGATCATATCACATAAAATAATTGTACTAGTAAAACTAATAATATATATATAATTTGTATGATAATAAATGTAAAGAAGAACAATATCAATTGTATTTGTAATAAGAAATGATAAAATAAGAATAATAATGATTAAAAGAGATCTATTTGAGTATGAATGTGATTTAGTTAATAAATGATCATTATGTTTTATAGAAGGAACTAATGATAATGATCTATTATTTGACGTTGAAAATGAAAAACTTTTAGTTAAATAAATTGATTTTTGAAATTTTTTATCAAATTTTTCCGATTGTGTTCGAACAATTTGATTTATTGTTGGTGGTAATAATGAATTAATTATATTTTCATTTGCAAATGGAATATTTTCACATATTGTTTCATTATTCGATGATAAATTATGAAATGTATTTGTACTTGCAATAGAATTTGTACCAAATGTTGTCCAACTATGACGATAATTATCATTGGTTGTTGATGGAAATATATAAAAATTTGTTCCATGTAATAAACGTTGTTGATAAGAATTTTCAAGATTATTTTCTGTAGAAATTTGAGTATTGTTGTCTTCACTAATTGATTGTTCTTGTTGTTGTTGTTGTTCAGTGACACTCAAGTCAAGATCGGCTAGACTTGTATGTTTACAAATGAATAAATGACATTTTGGACAAGCACTTAAACTTAATGAATAATGTAGAACATTCATGAGATTTACAATTAAAATTTTCTTCAAATAAAATTACACATTTAAATTAATTATCTAAATAAAATTAATTACTAAAATAGAAAAAGAAAGAATACGAGACATTAATTATAATAATAATAGTAATAATAATAATAATAAGTATTCTAGTTTGAATTAGATTAAAATGTATTCTCTCTTACTTTAAGACTTACATTGATTATAGATTAAAGTTTATATTGAAAGATAATCATGAGTGATATGATCTGTCTTGTCATGGTACTCAATGACAACCATTGAAAAGCTTGATCACACACGCGTATCTGAATGAACTGACTACATCAGAGATTAATATTGATTAGTATGTGTACTATACTATTCAACACTTAAGGATGAAAAGAGAAAGGAAAAAAGAAACAATAGAATGGTCAATGCTTCATGATGTCTATTTTTCTCTGTTATCAATTTCAAATTAAAGTGTATTATATATAGTTCATAAATTCAATGATGAACATGTATAAAATACTGACTTATTGTTATTTTAGATTTCGTTTCATTTCCTTTTCTCTTTTTTTTTTTTATATCCTACTTCTTTTTGCTTTATTGACGTTTGATGATAAGCGTAGGTGATGGCGATTGAAAAACGGTCAATTAAACATAAGCAAACATGCGTGGGATGAATTTTGTTTTGATTGTACCATATGAATCAATCAGCGATCTAGCAATATTAAAAGAAAAAAAAACTTCTCTTCTCGAAAAGCTATACTACGCTTTAAAATGATAATTAAGCAAATAACCTTGAGAGAAAAAAAAATATGTATGTGTATATATCGCACTAATTGAACGTGTAACATATGATGATTTGATTTTCTTTCTCATGAAATATGAGAAAAGAATCGAATTATCTTTCTTATTGTCATTTCAACCTTTTCATTCTCAATTTCGTATTCTATTGAATTCAGTTCATCTTATATGATGAGAAGCATTAAAAAAACGATGCAATAATACACATTGAAAATACTATTCAATCATGCACGCAATGCCAATCGAATAAAGAAAAAAAAAAAGAGAAAAGTAACAGGTAAATTATTCGTAACTAAAACAACGCATTGTTCAGCCCTAACGGATAATTTTATTATTGTCGACAACCTTTGAGAGCACTGATACATAAAAGATTGAGAGAAGTAAAGGGCATTCTCTTTTTCTTTTACAATAGACATATAATGTAATGCTGTTTTTCATCATGATCATCTCAACAAACTCCCGATGGCTATATAATCATTCTGACCGAAACAACATCCGGTCGACTGACTGATCATTATAATGATTTCCTAATTTGTTCTCTTGTTATATTTATTCACAGTCTATTGTGCTTCATTTTCTTCTTCTTATACATGAATGATAATTTTTTTTTCTTTATACTATATAAATTCTACAATTTTTTTTTTTTTATATATAAAATTAAACATCCATTTATTGATATAAATGTTTCGATAAGAAGAACATTTTTTTTTTTCTTTTACTTCATGTAATACATCGAATATCATTAAGTAAGAAGTATTTGTGAACATTGAAGTAGTACATCATATGAACTATCATTATTTTTTTTTCAATAAGACGATAAGGATAATTGACTTTTTAATGAGAATACATTGATAGATAATTTTTTAAAAGCGTAGATATATAACAATTAAGTGAAAAGAGTCTTCTTTATATTCAAACGATAAATCATTAAAGCAAATGGAGATATATATATATATCAGATATTTCAAAAAAAAAAAGTAATATTGATATTGTACATTTAAAAAAAGATTTATGTTATATTCAATATTTGTATATATAACTTTGTTAAAATTGGTTTTTGTTTAATGTATAGATACCAATATTTCAACATGCTATGATAATACTTAATTGATGTTTGTCTACTAATTATAGAACATCTTTTCATAAAGTTGAAATATTCTCAATCTTGAATTCTTATTGAGAATTGTTCAATCTTGATGAAATTCGAAATTATTATATTTGAAAATCTGAAGATATAAGACAATGTTTAAGATATAACTCCTTCCTTTCGATATTCTTGTCTAGGGCAAATATTTCTAAAAGATTCAAAATCATTTAAATTAAAGTCGGAGTGACGTTGAAAAACGGATGATTTGATAATACTGGTATTATTTTTGAAATATTTTGATTTATAAACATAGATTCTATATGTAAGCTGAAGCTAATAGCATTAGTAGAAAGAACATATCAAGTTGTACTTGTTAAATGTAAAAACTACGATAAGCTACAATTTTCGGAGAAATTCAATTATGTTATTGAGCTTCTTTACTCTATGAATAATTCTAAAATTCTGTTTAAAGAAAAAAACGCACCAATTTTAGAAGAGAAAGTTGTCTATAAATTCATTTAGCTTTTATCTCTTAAAATACAGTTTCATAAATATCTTGAACTTCTATCGCTTTAATTTTATATCTCGATGCGTTGTTAAAGAAACATTTTCCATACTACACTATTTTCATCTCATTATTAGGATACATGAATTGAGTGATATAATATTAAATTTTTTCGCATAATCTTCATTTATATTCTTTTTTGCGTTGAATGTCAAAAATAATATAAGTATTCAACGTTATTATCAAAGCAACTTTTTTTCAACGTCACTTCGACTTTAATTTAAATATAGTAATCCGCAGATTTATTATCAAATTTTTTTAATTTAAAATGATTTTCGATTAGAATTACAATAAACTATAATAATTAAAGATTGAAAATATTTCAACAGTATGAAAAAATGTTCTATAATTAGCAGACAAATATTTTACAGTTTTCTCGAGATTTTTCTTCAGATTTCAAGAGACAAAGGAATAAAATAAGCACACGATTTAATACATTCTTAATTGTATATATGCACTACCATAGCATAAAGTACGAGTACTTGCTAGAGTATATCGAGTTGGTCTGGGATTCGAGTCCGAAAATATTGCTCTCAATGGGCTCCAGTCATTAAATACAAAATAAAGTGGAAAAAAATTGTCTCGTATCTTCGGGACGACTATTCAATTTTGATAAGAAAATTTCATTGAATATCAAAGTACGGTTATACCAAGTCCCGGTTCGAAAAATTTATACCTGACGTGTTCCAATATTTGCTCAGCTCTGCATAACATATAGATATCTATAATTCTTAGAATAAAAGTATTCACTTTTTACTTTTTATATAGAAATTTCTTATATTTTTTCTATGGTCTATATATGAAAACGTTATCTTAAATACAATTATATCTATTAAAAAGAAAGTTGATTTTTATATATATAATTCATCATTCATTTTTAATAGCAAACAAACAAATACTGAATAACATCTAGACAGTGATCGAAACATTATGAATGAAACTAGTAGATTTTTTTGTTTGAATATCACTGTTATTATTATTATTAGTAGTAGGAATTGTACTAGTAGTAATATTTGATGAAGCATATATAACTGGTATTCGTCCAGTTCGATGATTATTCATCTGTATATGAATAAATGGTGTTGTACTATCATCTGTTGATGAACTTGCTGTACTTGATGATGATGACGATGAATAAGAAAAAGATGGTCGATGATGAACTGATAAAATAGGTGTTGATGGTGAAAGTGAATCATTTTCAATTTGATTAAGACTTAAATCAGAAAAATGTCTTTCAATTGTTAATTTTTTTGGAATAATAGCTGGTGGTAACGATGGTTCAGCAAGAACAATATTTCTTAAATGTTGTTCTTTAGGTTTTTTAAATGGATCTGGTGAATATGATGTTTTTGTATGTAATGGTTTTTTTAATGCAGATTGCGTATGATATGGTAAAGAACGTCGAGTATATGGTGTTCGACGTATATATGGTGATGAAATAATATTATTATTATCAATAAGATATTTTGATGATAAATTTGTTGTTTTATCATAACTATCATAAAGACGATGAGATTTATTTTTCAAAGATGATGATATATTTTGTTCATAAGGAAATGGTTGACATGCACCATTACTAAAAAGAAATGAAATATTATTAATAATTCATAAGACTAGATGATAAGTTATTTATAAGAATAAATTATTATTGAATTTTAATCTCATATTACTTATTTGAATAATTTTAAAAAAAAAACCAATCAGTTAGCGTCAGTAGTTTATGAGAAAATAAATCGTTAGAAAATTATACTTCTTTATAATTTGAAATTGTGCAATTTTCTTCTTTTTTTTTTCTCTTTACCTTTCTTGTCGTTGATTTTTTCTTATAATTTGTGTAAATGCACTATTACTTGATATTAATAATTGAGATTTATTTTGATTAGTTTTTGATGATTTTTTCAATGGAAGATCTTGTACAACAAGACCAGTTCTTTTAAATGTATTTGAAGATGAATGTAATGATTGTAAATTTGATAAATTTGTTGTATGTTTAGTTGATAAATCTAAATAATGATGATTATTTGTTGATGATTCACAATCTGAAACACCTGAATCACCACCACATGATGATGATGTTAGATCTTGACGTCGTCTATGTGATGATGATAAATTATGATTTGTTGATAAAGAATATTTTTTATTTATTGGTGGTGTTAATGTTGGTAAAGTTGTTAATGGAGATTTGATTTTTTCTGATTTTTGTAATTCAAAATCATGAAGTTTATAAGAACATTCAACATTATTTAAAGATTTTATTGATTGACGACGAAATATTGGACGGCAACATATATATGGTACAAAACCTTCATCATTATCAGCTGTTTTTATAAATAACCATTCATTTATAATATATTGTGCATTAACAGGAAAACCTTTAGAGAAAAAAATATTTAAAACAAAATTTTTGTTGAAGGAAAGAAAAGAAAAATAAATAATCAAATTAAATACCTCGTTGAATTTCAATTTGTTTTTTTTGTAAACCTTTTCCATCAGGATTAAATGAAACAACAACTAACATTGGAATATTTGCTGGTGATTGTGATGATGCACGACGTAATTTTTCTGTAA